TGCATAGTGGAGGTCATACTGACTGTATTAGGGCAGCGCTTAAGTAACAGTAACAGACAAGTAAAAGATCTGTCAGCCAAGACACTTCTATCTTGCTTTTGTCATCTTTAAAAACATCTGTAATAGCAACAAACAAGCTACTAAATTGACACTGAGATGTGACTGTTCTGCTTTTATATGTTCCCAATGTGTAAAATGGACTTTGCAACACAATATAAGGTTTGGTATTAAAAGTAAGCTCCAGCATGATCCAGCAGTAAGCTTTATTGCATCTTACGATGGAAATATCACAGTAATTCTTTTGTGCCTTACATGTTTTAAATACAGTCAACACTGGAACACATGACACGCAACAGTAAGGATTGTGAGGTATCTGCAACCGTCATTTTCATTTGCCATAGCAGGAAAATATCATTTGTGCCCCAGTAAGACAGTGCACCGGTCTTTTTCACTTCATAAGTCATTACATTTTTGAAACAAACATCCCTCTGTTTTATCTACTGTGTGAAACAAGCTGATTTATTCAGAACTGGTGATTTAGTTCTTATACTTTTAAGTATAAGACACATTTTCTTGTACCTAATATACAAGCTGGTGTTCTAGGACATTCAGAGGGTCGGTGTGACAGAAGAGGATGGGACAGGGCGAGATAGAGGCAGATGATCTGCTGTGGCAACCCCTAAAGGGAGCCGCTGAAAGAAGAAGATGCAAGCTGGCTTCCTAAGAATAGAAGTTAAATCAGTTGAGTTGTCCAAAAATGTATTCTCCTTATGTCTCTAGCCATGCAAATAAAAAAGAAGATGACTAGGTTTCAAGAGAGGTTTAATTTTTCAGCATGATTCCAAATGCACTGCCATTGCAGTAAAAGCATACATGGATGGAAAAACACACAATGGTACACACATCAGTCATGGATTGGTCTCCCCAAAGCCCAAGCCTGAACATTACTGAAGCTGTGTGGGACAGAGAACAGAGCAGAAGAGAGCCAATATCCAAGGAAGAGCTTTGAATGTCCTGCGAGAAGCATGGAGAACTAATCCTGAAGACCATTTAAAGAAATTAGTAGAAAGTCTGGCTAAGAGAGTTCATGAATAAAATACTGACTTTTAAGCTTGTTAGAATTATACACACTCTGTTTTTGCCTTAAATATTGCATTTCCATGCATGTTTACACGTTTTTATATATATTACTTGTTTTATTTCTCACCGATATTTCAACACTCAAAGAAATTTTACAATACTCATACAATAATCTTTAAAACAATCTTGCTCAGTTGTCATGGAAAGGAACATAGATAACCTCCCTGATATTCTGTTTGATGTAAACAGCTGGCTGTGTGTCAGACTGATTGCAAAAGTGACCGCACAATTCTTGGATATCAATTTACGATCAGATCTTGATTATGAGTGATTTGATTGCCACCTCCAAGTCCACCTCTTCTCTTTTTATCAGTGCCACCGTCTCCAAGCTTACAGTATAACAGTTCACACTACCATGTTGTAAACATTCTCTTTCACACGATAATGCGAAGTCATGGAAAATGTGTCATGTGATAGGATCTTCAGAGAAAATGAGCTAATGGCAGTGAATTAGAGGTTGAAATAATAATAAATTACATTATTTTTCTTTTGGGAAAAGGCCCCACGGACACCACTTATATAATTACGTATTTATACAAATATCAGGATTGACGACAAGTCTCCTTGATAATATGTCCATCATTTTCTTCATTTGCACATCTCCTGACGTCAAATTTCCCACATACTACGCAGAAAAACAATGACTTTCCCACTAGAGGGCGGTGTGGCCTTGCTTTTTCAGTTGAGTGAAGTTTAACCAGCATGCAGCTTAAAAGGAAATACAAACGAAAGTAAGAAGAAACCAGTGCATTTTCTTTTTGATATTGATTAATGAGCTTTAAAAACTGTAAACGAGCTGTAATAAAAAATCACCCAAATTTGTTTTCTTTTTTGCCCTTTAATGATATATTTTTAAAAAGCAAACAGAACACCTAAACAGGAGAACGAGAAGACAAAATCTGTATATAATGGAGTCCTAACTTCATGCATGCAGTCTAAATGTTCTTACAGGGGTTATACTTTGGTATACAGCACAGCTGTTGAAGTTGAAGGAGACGCCGCCGCTGTCAGAGAGCACGCCGAGCATCAACCCGGACATGAAGTCCTGTTTTACCGCCTCGACGCTGTATATCAACCGACTCGTTCTACCCAAGGAACTACATTTCCTACATTTCCATGTCGGCAGCGCGAGCGCTGTTCAGAAACGAGGTGGGGCTATTTTGAATCAACAAGTTGCCCAGCCAGACAGGCGAGCAGCAATTCCATCGTGTCTTCGTAGCAGCAGGTGGTCACCGCGCGCCCAGCACTTAACCACAGCCTGTTAATTGGATTACGCCAAGTTTCCACGACAGAGCCCACGGGCTGAAATGGACGGAATAGATTAACTTTTTCTTCTTTTTTTTGTGAACCAGCCCAGTTCTCTTTTTCTTCTCTCAAGGACGCTGAAAGTGACGCTGTAAATTGGTAGATAAGACTTTCTTTTTAGCGGACTGCACGTTTCTGCGTGCCTAGTGCTCTCGTGCTCAAGACTGTTGACAGTTTTTTTTTTAAAATATATTTTTTTCTTTTTAAAGTTGAAGTTAGTACATTGTTAATAATGGCGTTCGGTAGATTCAGTAAACTATTTCGTCTACCCACCATGGATATGAAAAAGAAAGCCAAACAGTACGAGCACGTCAATCGGGACGTCAATCCCAACGACATTTGGGAAATTATTGGCGAGCTGGGCGACGGTGCTTTTGGAAAAGTCTACAAGGTAAGTGTGTTCTCAAAAGACACGAGGCACCTGTTGTCTGACAATGCTGTAGAACCCCAAGAACCCCATTTGTCCTCAAATGAAGTAGTCCTCTCGAAATGTTGATAAGTTGCCTGTTTGTGCTTATGAAAACTTCCTTGAATATCAAAAAGTTACTTAAGTTTACTCTGACAAAATGTAGTAAACGTCCTAATATATACTTTATACCAGTTTCATTTCAAATGGGTGTTTCTGTGTATTTTTCCCCCACCTGTCACACACTTTAAAGCCTTGCATCCTTTGGGTGTGGACTAGTTCCATTCACCTGTGGGTGCTGAACCATCCCAGCATTGCTGTAATATGACAGATATCTGAACTATGTTGCTGGTCAAGAGTTCTTATGTTAAACAGACCCATGCAGTCATTACATTAACTTTGGCTGTCGTGTGAAAGTTTTGCTAAATATTTAGAATCAGCATGGGTGACTACTATTTCTGTGTGGCTCCTCGATGCACCTCTCTTCTTTTCTCTCTCAGGTCTGACCTCTCAGAACTTGTGTGAATGCAGTTGAAATTATGTATGGCATGTGGAGGATTTAGAAAAATGCCATGATGTGACTCCACTGTTGAGTCAGCCTGCAGGGACAGTGAAAGCACCTTAGCACCACCACCACCAGCAGCACCACCACCATCAGCACTTTGACTCAGTGGAGATATTTAATCTGGCTCTGTAAGACATTCACTGCCCTCTGCAACGCGGGGCACAGGCCTTCTGTGTCTACACAGCCCAGTGGAGCACAGTGAAGGTCTTTGACACATCAGGGGCCTCAGTGGAAGAAGTGATGCTTTAAGCAGAATTCTGCACTGAACAGAGAGCACAGTCTTTTCAGAGGACCCCACCTTGTTTAGACTTTTCTTTTTTTTGTTTTTACTGGAAAGTTTACATACATGTGGGGAAATGGGTGTGAAGAGCACCATAATGCTCACTATTCCAGCAAAGCTATTGCCACGGATGCAATTTAATGAAAAGAAAATAGTAACATGGCGATCAAGTTATAGCTAGAAGTGAAGTTGCATAATTTATCTTAACAGTGAAGCATACTATGAAAACGCACAGTGCTTTGGGTTTTCTTCCTGAGATGCTAAGGCAGGGACCTGGTACAAGGTTCTTTAAATCTGAAGAAACCTTTAATAAGCTGCTGTTTATTACTCAGGTTTTAAGGATTACTCAGGTTTCTAAGTGCAGAAGTACACACAGTCCACTTCAGCTCCAAAGTGTTTAAAGCTAAAGCCAAATGAAAGTGGCTGGTACATCTAGTGTGATTAAGTGCTACTTAGACAACTGGCAAGCTTACAAAATGTAATGTCCCTTCCACACTATATTTGCCTGGGTTCCTGTTTCTCCTCCTTCAGTTGGTTGGAGGAGGACAGCTCCACACCTGCAGCTGTCAGATGGAGTGGAGGGAGGCAGAGCAAGAGCAGACGATGGCCAAGAGAGGAAACTGTGGGACTGCATCAGGAGACGGCTTCCTCTCGCTGCTCCCAAACCTCAGAATAATTGGCCCATCTGTGGGAGGGAAAGGCCTTGTGTGGTGAATTGTACATGCTTTCAGATGTTAGAAGTATTTGATAGAGCAGGCGTGAGGGAAGGAGGCTCTGTGTCCTGTCACTTGTGAGATCATCTACTTGTCAAACTGTTTGGGGGAGGGCAGGAGTCACAAAAAAGATGGCTGTTGATGTGCAATGGGCAGCAGGAGAAGAAAGTATAAATTTCATTTGTCGGACACCGCTGCTTGTAGAGCTTTTTTTGTTTTTGTTTCGGTCTTTGAGATTGAGGACAGATTTGTGTAATTGTGCAGTTTTGCTAGAGAGTACCGAGTGCTCCACACAGGCTGATTCTCCAAAGGTTAATGTCACCAGCAGGAGAATAACAACTCCCAGGCTTAAGGGTAGTGCTAAGGACAAATCAATCTATGTGTGTGCATGGCTGTAACCCAGGAACAGTGTGAAAGAAGGATCTCATAAAATGCAATATACTCCCCCAGTTATCGAATATATTCTTCCCTGTAGGTGAAACTGTACTTTTCCATTATTGAAAGGCTGCTAGGAAAAAAAATATGACGGTCTATAAAACTTAAGCCTGTGTTTCTAACTTTTTTATTGCTGGAGATTGAGGGTCAAAATATTGTGCAAATATCTGTCATCCAAGTGCTATAAGTACAAGCGTGCACTTGTGTTGGTTGATACTTTGATGCATAAATTACCTAAATGCAGAATATTCATTTTGTTAATGAGTCTGAGTATCACAGGACGCTACAGATACAAACATGTACTCAAACATGCTGTTGTTTACACCTTCTGGTGCTCTGTTAATGAGGTTAAAGTATCACTGTCCAGCAGCAGTTAAATGGGATTATAGAGCAGCTAAATGGAAAGCCGATGTTTCTAACACTGCATTTATCACTCGAGGGCCAAACATATCTTTAACCTTAGAGCACATTTTACTTGTCAGTAAGTTAGTTTTGACCACAAAAAAAAATCTGTGTGCAATCAGTGCTACGTTTAGATTCAAATTGCAGTTAAATTTTATTAGCACTAGTTAAATGCTAAATTGGATTTTGATGCTTGTTATCAGTCTTTTACTTGCTGGTTTGTTTCGCAATGTAATGCACACACCCACAAACACCCACAACACTGTGACACTTCTGTCTCCCTGTAGGCTTGTTTTTTTTTTTTTTTAAACCATCACTGGCTAATCAAGTCTCATATTCCACTTCCTGCAGATTCAGTGTGTCATAGGATGATGTCTTTGCTCTGTCTCTCTGTGCGTGTTTGCACTTGTTGGAAGGAGTCTTGCGCTTGTGTATGAAGGTGTTGTGGCTGCAAGTGAGGCATGAAACAATTGAGTTGTATAGCCCTTCTCACTAATTAATGAGCCACGTGCCACTGAGCACACTAGCCTGCTGCTGCTAGTGAAATGTTTCCATAGACACACACAGGCTTTAAGGTTACGCGCTGTCAAATTCCCTTTGTGGGATGAAAAGCGCAGTGAATCTTGTCCCTGTTGGTCTGACAGTGTGTTCAGCCTGGATGTTGTGTAGTAGAAAGTGTGTAGGTGGCCTCAACTATGGCAAAAACGAAACGAGTACGGTAGTCGGCCAAGTGTTTAGGCCACAGTACTTAATGTAACGGATCTGATCATCTTTGAAACTTTTAAAAAACTCTATTTATGCACATTAGGTTAGAGAAATGTGGTCATACACCAGGCCAAAATGTTGTGGGAAATCCTGGACTGGTTAAAGGCATAAAACAAGACATTTCTCTTCTATGTAGTTTTTTTGTAAGACTTGCAGAAAATCACTTAAAATATGATTACCATCTACTGTGAAGTCAAAGAGAAACTCACATGGTGAGTAGGAGGGGGCAAAGGTTGCAACTTCCTTTTTGTGAAGGAAAGCCGCAAGGTTCATATGAAATGCTCACAGTTATTAAGAATGGCTCCAAGACGAATGTTTAAAAAGACTTCAGTGGCATTGTCGTCACTGCTCCCGAGAGCAGGGTTTCCCTGGGTCTAATCTCAGGGAGCAGCTGGGCCCACGGTGACTGATAAGAGCCCAGCTGGATGGGTGTGGGCTCAGAATGGTTGGAGTCCCTGTTATCCTCGTGATGACATTGTCATCGGCATCTACAAAAGCCGTGATCTGTGTTTCTAGTTGTAGGTCTGAGGTTAATGATCTACATGATAATTTCTGATATGTGTGAGTTCATACTCGGACAGCATTAGCAATCGAGAAAATGACAGATTTAGAATTTTCAGTTATATCAGATTTTCTACATTTGTGTCACTTGTACACTTTTTCTGATTAATCTGGTAATCATGCAGTACTTGCCCGAGCTTGGTTTTGTGGTGTGCTTTAAATAAGACCGTATAAACCCTCCAGTGTGGTGCTTGCTTCTTCTAGTCTGCACTCAGGAAGTTTGACTCCTTTGTCATGAAAGTCAAGGTTTGATGGCCGGTGTATCACTGATTAAAGAATTAAGTGTTACAGGTTTTCTTCCAAGGCTGTCTGTGGTATTGTATGTTATAACTTCCTGCCTCCCTGACCTGTTTTGTTTTTGTGACTTTGGGGTTGAATTTGGGGCATGTTGCAATGTTGATCACAACTTTCACATCCTGAAAAGGCTCATTGCTTCATTGTTAGGCAGTTTTTGTACAAATTTGTTCCAGTCAGGTATCCTTTGCCCAGTAGTCCCAGTAGTAGTCTAAATTCATACATTTGTGCTGTCTTTACAGTCAGTGGTTTTGATAGAGGAGGAAGAGTCATGCTCTGGCGTTGAAAGAAGAAAATATGTCAAACAATCTTTGTTCTTCACTGATGCGTTTCGCTGTAAGAGCTTCTGGTATTTCACAATAGAGCCATAGCTACATTCATGTCTTTAATCTATTTTTTTAAGGTAGGGGTTAGCCATAATGATTGGGTTTGCAGAGCCATTCACATGTCTAGGTGAAAGGTAAGCACTGGCTATGCAGCCTTGAAACATTTTAGTCACTTTTCTTCCTCTCTTACTTTACTTTCTTCTTGAGATTAGACCCAGAGAAGCCCTGCTCTTAGGAGCAGTGACAACCACACTGAAGGCTTTTTATCATTCACCTTTACTGTCTTGGAACTTAAAAAACCTAATAAACAGTAGCAGTGGCAAATTAGTAATTTCCTTTCCTGTTAAAAATATGTCATGTGAGAGTTATAGGTATGCTTCCTTGTGCCTTTTTTTTTTTTTTTTTTTGGGAAGAACATTTTTACTATGTCACATGAATGCATCATATCCAGTAAATAAAAGATGATGACTACATTAGTTTTCATACTTTACTGGGTAACATACTTCCACATAAACCATTTATACTGTTGACCTTTACACCCAATCAGTATTTTCTATTTTTTTATCACAAAAAACACAATCCATTACTCTGTAGTGGTTTGTCAGTTTGGCCTAAAGTGTAGGGAGCTTGGGGATGGGGGGCTC